AGCGTCTTATAAAGTTCTTAATTTTTGCACTTTCTTAAATCAATTGTTATTTCTACTTATTTCTACTAAATATATTTTAATTTGTCATTTTCATTGGTATTTATCTTTTCAATAATTAAAATACTGTAAATATTATTTACTTAAATTTGATTTTTTATATTTTTTTGCCATAATATAATTTGGTTTTCATCATGACTTTTTGCAGAATTGAACACAATTAGTAAATATATATTGTTCACAACAATTAAAGAAACACTTAACACTTCTTAAAAAAAAAAAGAAAAGATTTAAGCGAGTATAACTTCGTTAAAAGTTATTAAAATCCAAAAAATTAAAAAAATAAAGATTTTTATAGAACTCGAAGCCTCTATTTTTGAATGATTTTAATCATTTTTAATTCTTTATTTCAAGTTTTCCTAGGTTTGATGTTTGTTTGCATATCGAAAATGATAAGTTCGACAAAATTTCTTGTTATTTTCAAGCGTATCACGAAAATTTCTTGTCATTTATAAGAGCGCATAAAAAATCTGAGAAAAATTTCGACTTTCCGTCTGAGAGACTGAAAGTCCTCAGACTCAAGTCCTCTCTATAATTTGTTTTTGAGAGAACTTTCTACACAATTTCTTGTGTACAAGTTATCAAAAATTAAAGGATAAATTGACATTTTGCTTTTAATTGTTTAGAACTCCGTTAACAATCATCATACAGTAATTTGGAGTCTTAAAGTTGAAACCTTGCTTTACCAAACAGTATAACTGCCCATTTTCTCTTATCAATTTATGAAAATTCACATATTTCCACTTTTTCATTTATATTCAAAAAACAATTGTGTAGGCAACAATAAAATTTTTATCTTTACGATTTTTTAAAAGTTTTAAGTACACCGAATTCATAAAAAACGCCGCATCTATGATACTCATGGGAGTTTTAACAAAACAACACAAACTTATTTGCTTTCGAATGTTGTTAAAAATATACTATTTGACTATTTAAAACATTTTTGTGTATACGATAAATGGCAAATGTCACAAATAATATCAAACTTGCGTTCTGAGCGCCATTTCTTATCAAAGTCACTGACTTATCAAACACCTTAGATAGAAAACAGTCCAGCATACGAACAATGCTTCTGGCACAAATACTTTAAAAATAGATAGCTTACAATTGACATCTGTTGTAAAAGTACTTAAAAATAGTCAGCATACAATTAAAGCTTTTATTATTATTATTATTATTGTTATTAATTACTAGTCCACGTATGATGATACGGAGATGTCCGGCAGTACTTAAAAATAGGTAGCTCACATTTAACCTTTTGAAGCACACATTTTTCCTTCCATTTTTCACCAATTTTGGTACCCGACGGTTTTTGGGGTCGCTGTTCACGAATTTGAGGTCAAAATTGAAAAAAATTTTTTAATCTAAGATGGCAGGTCCAATATGGAGGATCGAAATTGCAGCGTATCAACCAAATCTCTTCCATCAGGGCTTGAAGCTCTGATACTAAATTCTCTCGGATATTGGTTGTCCATATATGCTCTTTTATCTCTGTGAGGATGGGAGGGGCGAAAAGGGGAAGTGTTGGTTCCAGCTAATCAACGTGTTTTTTAATTGACTAGCTAATCAATAAAAAACACTGATTGGCTGGAAGCAACCCCTCTCCTCCCAGGGATAAGGACAACTAATATCCAAGGAAACTCAGTATCACAGCCCCAAGCTCTGATGATGTAAACTGCAATGTTTGCGGAACGTTGGCAGAACATTGATTTAAGACTCAACATATTTCCGAAAGCAACGCAAATGGATTGTACCAATGGCCGCGAAAGCCTCAAGACTAGTATTAAATAATATTACTGCAATATTATTAGAATATTACGTCTAATATTCTAAGAATATGCCTAGATTACTTAATATTATTTAATATTAAATAATATTACGCGCTTATATACTGACTTGCTTATATATTCACTCATACATATGCTTGTTTGTTTACTTCTTCCCGCCGACAAATTCACGGAGAAAACGAATTTTGCTAGAACAGTAAATATTTGTCGATATATTGACAGCAAAAAAATTTGCTTAGACAGCAAAAAATTTGTTTGGACAGTAGAAAAGATTTGTTAAGAATATTAATTTCATATTTACAGTAAATAGTAATTAATACTCTTAACAAATTTTTGTGCTGGCAAACAAATTTGTTGCTGTCTAGACAAGTTTTCTGTTGCTCTTACTATATTGACAAACATTTGCTGTTTTAGCAAAATTTGTTTTCTTCGTGCTGTGGATTGAAGCCGAAAAAATAACAGACTAAAAAATTGAATTATCGGAATGTTTAGTTTTGTTCACAAATTCTGATAATAAATTAGTTGTAGATTACTAAAATAATTCACTCTGATTGAAGATCATTCACTTTGAATATATACGTTCGTAATATACACCTCCGTCTCTAGTAGGTACTTATAATAGTTGAGTTCGGATCCAATGAGGTTTGAATCTGAAGGAATAGAGTATATTTTTATTTATAATTATTATATTCCATAATGTGCTTCTACTCTACTCCTGTCTATCTCATATCGATAAGAACAACGCGAAATAATTTCTGATGTGAAGTAACAATAAGAAGATAATTTATTTCACTGAGGCTTCTAGGCTTCTAGGTAGTCGCTAGAACTGTCCTTGTTTGATGACGCCAAAAACGAGAAAACGTATGTCAAAAATTTTTGCGTTTTACATTCAAATAAAAAGATATTAGAGAGAAATTTAGTTAAGTTGTTAAATGAGAGAATTAAGTTGTATGCCTAATATTTAATTAGAAATTTGAAAATGCGACTAAATATTAAAATAAATTTTAAATAAGGTAAATTACCTTGTTATTGTTGTTTAACATCAGTAGAGAATTGTTTCGAGAATTGTTCTTATCGGTATGAGATAGGGCAGAGCAGAAGCAGATCATGGAATATAATAGTTATAGATAGGAATATACTCTACTCCCCCTCAGATTCATATCTCACTGGATCCGAATTTACTATCGTAAGTATCCAATGACTTCAATGTGCCTATTTAGCAATAAGTTTTTGATTGATGTCTTGCACACAGGACGCAGTAAGCTTTGCTGTATCTTATATGCAGAAGCCATAATATAATAGTTACATTTACATTTTACATAATACATTTTTCTATTAGATATTTTATGTTGGATCACGTCCATAATACGAAGTTTGTTCATGTTACTTGCACTTTTAACACTTTTACATCGCTGCGCATAAACGCTACAATGAGACTTTAAATAAGACTTAAAAAATTGACCAATCACGTTCGAATTATGGAAGAAAAGTCAATTACAATCGGTCAATTTCTTATATCTTACGCCTTAAATTCTCATTGTAGATCCTGCTTTAGTAAGGGCTGTGCAATAAGCGATATCCAATGATCGTGCATCTTTTTAGAAAGAGGTCTAGTGTTGCGACAGACATTAAATGTAAAAGTATTAAAAGTGGAAGTAACTCGACAAACATATTAACGTAATGTGAATTCTTCAAAAGTCGTTTATATGCGTTGTATTATATCATCATTTGGAAATTAGTGAAAAAGAGAGAATGGAGATTGACATAATGTGTAAAGCAGATAGCAATACCATTTCTTACCACATGGCCACCTATATTACAGGCTCTATTTTCAAAGTAAACGAGGAGAAAGAAAATATTGACGGTTCTACAGAATTGACAAAATTTCCTGATAAAAATGAGAAAGTTAAAACACAACGTCTGGTGTGCCCAATAGTTATCAGTGATAGCAAAAGTTCAGCAGACAGTATTCTATACTCATCTGAAAGTAAGTTTGTTACTATTTGTTAACTTAGCTTGTTTATTACTATTTGTTTATTTAGCTTTAGTTAGTTTTGTTTAGAAGCAGTGAGGAGAATTTCAGTACCCGGATAAAATAATTATATATATATATATATATAATCATACAATATTACATATTATATACATATATAATTATACATAAATATTAGGTGGTTGCATTTAAACCCGCTGTTTTTGTCCTTTAAACATTTATTTTATAAAAACTTGTTGGGTTACTTAATCAAAGTATTTTCCTTCGGATGTTATTATTTCCTCTCATCTCTCTGGCGAAAGCTAAATCCCACGTCGAAAGAATGCCTTATTTTTCGCTATCCATTCATCTACCCATTTTTGGACTTCCTTGCAATTACGGAAGTGTGTATCTTCTGAGGCGTATTGCATCGACCGAAACAAGTGATAATTACTTGAGGCAAGGTCCGGAGAATACGCTGAGGGTGAGGGAAGACCTCCCATTCCAGTTCCATCAGTATTTTTTTACCGCCAATGCAACGTGAAGTCGAGCGTTGTCTTGCAGGGGGAATCATCTTTCGACGATTTGATGCTACTGACAGCCTTTTTTCTATTAATTATTGTTCAAATCACGCTCCAGTTGCTGTTGATAACGTTCGGCAGTGAACGTTTTCTTGGGTTTCAAGAGCTCATAAAGCACTACTCCCTCCATATTCTACCAGATACACAGCATGGCTTTATGACCATGGATATTTCGTTTTGGCGTAGATGTTTATGATTGGCTCAGAGGATCAACCCATGATTTTCTGCGTTTAGAGTTGTCGAAATATATCCATTTTTCATTCCCAGTCACAATACGCCAACAAGAAACTTTTTTTCTATGCCTCGCAACAAAAAGTAGTGATGTTTAGTCGATT